ATCCGGGCTCTGCCAGCAGCTTGGTTTCTTTAGACAAGTCGCTTCCCTTCTCTGTGCCCCAGTTTCCCCACCAGTAAAATGGGGGTGCTCTCACTCTGTGACCTCAGGACACTTTCCCTTCTGTTCCTTGGTTTTCTTACCTAGAAGACGGGGCATAAGCAATGAATCGTCTCCCGCACCCAGCCAAGTACCCAAAAAGGGAGAGCGCTCAGTATTTGATCAGTAATTCGTCTGGGCCAATCCTAGGGACCTGGCACATAATAGGCACTCCGTAAATGGACACCCTCACGTTATCTTGGGTCGACTGCTTACCAACGTGGTTCCTGGCCAGTGGCTTCACTCCGAGCCTTAAGCTCCCTCATCTACCTGATGAGTGGCTGTGAGGACTGAGTGAAATATCCATGGAATAAATAGGTCCTTGATAGATTATATTTATGGAAGAGTTTACAAAATTTGTAAAAAAAAACTTTGAGGCCAGGGAAGATACAAAAGAACTTGGGAGGAAATTTTTGCTCTATATGTAATCTTTTATATATTTTGTATATTACTAAAATTTTGAGACAGGTGAGCATGTCTTTTTAAAAACAAATACAATTGAAAATGAAAATAAATCTAACCCTAGCAAAAAGAAGTGTCTTTCTCTGGCAAAGAAGGCATCTAAAACTCAGGGTCTGAAACCTGCTCAGGGTTGCAAAGAGCTAGAAAATGGCAAAGATGAGATCTTAGTGCAAATTTGCTGGACTCCAAATAAAATACAAAGAAGAATGAGAAGAAGCTCACCTCTCTCATTTACTCTTCATCGTTGCTTCCAGGAGGGGTTCCCCATCTGAGTAGAGGGGAAAGGCCAGGAGAGTGAAGAAGAGTGAGAATTGAGGAAAGATGAGCAAATCCCACAAGGCCAGCTTAGTCTTTATCCTGGAAGCAGTGGGGAACCAAAAAGGATTCTGAGCACGGAACTGACAAAGTCTTTTCTGAGCGTTAGAAATGGAAAGAGCCAGGGACAGAGTTCCAGGCCACTGATGGTGATTCTCTGAGTGATTAAAGGGCAAGGGCCACAGGGACGGATGAACAAGAGAGACTGAGGACTCAAAGCTGGCCAGAGAGGGGTTCGCCAGGACCAACCAAATGTCCTTTAGTAGCATGACAGAGCCACGAACCCAGGTGTGCCAACTCTACTTACCTGCTTCCTCTGCCTTGGAGGTTGTTCGACCCATACTTACCACTGACAGCCTTAAAAATGTCCTAAGACCCCTCAAGGTCCCTAGGTCTGGTTGGATGCCAAGAAGAAGCCTAAACTCCCAGCAGCTTTGAGCTGAAGGGAACCAGGGGGATAAGAGTGCTGGGGGTAGAGAACTGAGAACAGCATTCCCAACCCACAGGGTGTTCTCGGATCAACACACCTGTAATCTTGTTTGCACGCTCTTGTGCCTGATGCCCCCATGTGCGTTCAGTTTGTCTCATGCAGTGTATACACTCTGGGTGTGCACAAGGTACACATATGTGCACATGCAGACCTACATGCATGTGACCCAGCACATGGGCCAGCCTAGGAGATCCATGCACACCCATCCCAGCAGTCACCCAGGAGGTGTCCAATCTGTACTGGGTAGTGTAAACAGAAACTCTCATGG